GCCGCTCACCATGGCCGCCCGGCCTCCTGGGGGACCGCCGCCAACGGACAACCTGATCGACTTCGATGACCAACCGGCCTACTACTCGGGCTCTCGGCCGCCCGCAAACGACGACGACCTTTTACGACGCTACGACATCGACAACTCCGACACACCCCAGACTGGCCGCCCGTCCGTGTCTTATGACAACTTTCTCGGAGGCAGTAACTCGACGGCGGGGCTTCCTGGAGGGCCTGGGGCACCGACTGCACAAACACCATATTCGTCTACAGGAGGAGGCCGGTTATACTCGCAGACGTCGGACCTGAACAATTACCAGCGGTACTCGGACGCCGACGTTGACGATGATCAGTCTATGTACTATGCCCAAGGCGGGTACGCCGACGATGCGACGCCGGGTCTACGGCAGAGCGCCGCGCAGAATAATAAGAGGAACAGCATCCTGAGTATGGGAGGAGGCTTGACTGGCCGTGTGAGAAGCATGCTGGGCCGGCGGCCAGAGTACTCCGAGATGGACCTACCTTTGACCGAGCACGCGGCGCAAACACCCCGGTTAGACAGCGTAGGCGGCCCGGACGATTCGGCAACATCAACAAAACGGCGGCGATCAGGCGTCTTCAAGTTCGGCTTGGGTCGGGGTAAGCCTGATCCATCGACTCTAGGACCCCGCATCATACACCTGAACAATCCTCCTGCGAACGCGGCGAACAAGTACATCGACAACCATGTGTCCACCACCAAATACAACGTCATCACCTTTCTCCCGAAATTCCTCTTCGAGCAGTTTTCGAAATACGCTAACTTGTTCTTCTTGTTCACCGCTGTCCTGCAGCAGATTCCCGGTATCTCTCCTACGAAACGATATACAACGATTGTGCCTCTGGGTGTGGTTCTGTTGGTGTCGGCTGTCAAGGAGTATGTGGAGGACTATCGGCGAAAACAATCGGACCAGCAATTGAACAATTCCAAGACGCAGGTGTTGAAGGGCTCAAGTTTCGTCGATACACGCTGGGTCAACATTGGGGTGGGAGACATTGTGCGCGTCGAATCGGAAAAGCCTTTCCCTGCAGATCTTGCTCTATTGGCGTCCTCAGAACCGGAAGGGCTGTGCTATATCGAAACGGCGAATCTGGATGGAGAGACGAACTTGAAGATCAAGCAGGCCATTCCAGAGACGGCCAATCTGGTCAGCCCTGCCGAACTTAGTCGGCTTGGTGGGAAGATCCGATCGGAGCAGCCGAACAGTAGCTTGTACACCTATGAAGCGACTTTGACGGTGGCTGCAGGAGGAGGGGAGAAGGAGCTGCCGTTAGGCCCGGATCAACTGCTGTTAAGAGGTGCGACGCTCAGGAACACCCCTTGGATCCACGGTGTCGTGATTTTCACTGGCCACGAGACGAAGCTCATGCGCAATGCCACGGCGACACCCATCAAAACCACGCACGTTGAGCGTATGGTCAACTATCAGATTCTCATGTTGGTCTGCATTCTCCTCATCCTCAGCGTTATAAGCTCTGTTGGCGACATCATTATCCGGACGAAGGAGGGAGCGGCACTTCAGTACCTCTACTATGGATCCTTCAACGGCGCGAAACAGTTCTTCTCGGACCTTCTGACGTACTGGGTGCTTTACTCGAATTTGGTCCCCATTTCCCTCTTCGTTACGATCGAAATCGTCAAGTATTGGACCGGTTCGCTCATTGATTCAGACCTTGACATTTATTACGAACCTACGGACACCCCTGCTAACTGCCGGACGTCCTCTCTAGTAGAGGAACTGGGTCAAATTGAGTACATCTTCTCTGACAAGACGGGAACACTTACACAGAATATGATGGAGTTTCGGCAGTCCTCGATCGCTGGCATTCAGTACGCTGATGAGATCCCTGAAGACCGGCGGGCTACCGTTGAGGATGGCGTGGAAGTCGGTATCCATGATTTCAAACAGCTCGAACAGAATCGTCAAAGCCATCAAACGAAGGAGATGATCAAGCACTTCCTAACCCTATTATCGATATGCCACACCGTCATCCCGGAAAGGACAGGCGATGAGAAGACTATCAAGTACCAGGCCGCATCGCCTGACGAGGGTGCTCTGGTCGAAGGTGCAGTACAGCTGGGATACAAGTTCATTGCACGAAAGCCGAGATCGGTGACGATATTGGTCGATGGACAAGAGCTGGAATACGAGCTTCTGGCAGTGTGCGAATTCAACTCTACCCGAAAGAGGATGTCCACGATATATCGCACTCCGGAAGGCAAAATCATCTGCTACTGCAAGGGTGCAGACACTGTTATTCTGGAGCGACTCGGCAAGGACAACCCGTACACCGAGACCACTTTGACCCACCTAGAAGAGTACGCTGCCGAAGGTCTTCGTACGCTGTGTCTCGCTATGCGCGAGATTCCGGAACACGAATATCAAGAGTGGTGGAAAATCTACAACACGGCCCAGACAACTGTTGGCGGCAATCGGGCTGACGAGCTGGACAAGGCAGCTGAGCTCATCGAACGGGACTTCACATTGCTTGGTGCGACGGCCATCGAGGACAAGCTGCAGGAAGGCGTGCCGGATACGATTGCGACTTTGCAGTCTGCAGGTATCAAGATTTGGGTCTTGACTGGCGATCGTCAGGAGACTGCCATCAACATCGGCATGAGCTGCAAGCTGATCAGTGAGGATATGAGCTTGCTGATTGTCAATGAAGAGAACAAAGAGGCAACGCGAGACAACATTCAGAAGAAGCTGAATGTTATCGAGACTCAGGGTCATAATGGCGTGGAGATGGATGTCCTTGCTCTAGTCATTGATGGCAAGTCTCTAACTTACGCACTGGAGCGCGATCTTGAGAAGCAGTTCTTGGATTTGGCCGTGAAGTGCAAGGCGGTCATTTGCTGGTAAGTTGGTCTCTAGACATAAAGGCCTCGCTAATTGTTGCAGTCGTGTGTCTCCATTGCAGAAAGCATTGGTGGTGAAGCTGGTCAAGCGCCATCTCAAAGCCATTCTGCTCGCCATCGGCGACGGCGCCAACGACGTCTCTATGATTCAAGCTGCGCACGTCGGTGTCGGCATCAGCGGAGTCGAAGGCCTCCAAGCCGCACGCAGTGCAGACATCGCCATCGGCCAGTTCCGCTACCTGCGGAAGCTCCTCTTAGTCCACGGAGCGTGGAGCTATCAGCGTGTCAGCAAGGTCATTCTCTACTCATTTTACAAGAACATTGCGCTCTTCATGACGCAGTTCTGGTACTCCTTCCAAAACGCCTTCTCCGGTCAGATTATCTACGAATCCTGGACCCTAACCTTCTACAACGTCTTCTTCACCGCAGCCCCGCCCTTCGTCTTCGGCATCTTCGACCAATTCGTCAGCGCCCGCCTTTTGGACCGCTATCCGCAACTCTACCGGCTCAGCCAGTCAGGCACATTCTTCAAGATGCATTCCTTCTGGTCCTGGGTCATCAACGGCTTCTACCACTCCCTAATCCTCTACTTCTGCTCCCAAGCCTTCATCCTCTGGGACTGGCCCCAACACGACGGTCTCAACGCCGGCCATTGGGTCTGGGGCACAGCTCTGTACACCGCTGCGCTTGCCACCGTCCTCGGTAAAGCGGCGCTTATCACGAACATCTGGACCAAGTACGCATTCCTCGCGATCCCGGGGTCCATGGTGCTGTGGTTTATCCTCCTCCCCGTCTACGCGATCGTCGCGCCCATGGTCAACGTGTCACCGGAATACGTCGGCGTGATCCAGCGCCTATTCCCGGACCCCAAGTTCTGGGCTATGCTGGTCGTTCTCCCGGCGCTTTGTCTGGTGAGAGACTTTGCGTGGAAGTATGCGAAGAGGATGTATTATCCGCAGAGTTATCACCACGTGCAGGAGATTCAGAAGTATAATATTCAGGATTACCGACCAAGGTATGTTGTTATCTTTGTTTTCTTCTCTCCTTTTGGTGTACATGGGACGTAATCGCTAATGTGGAGAAATAGAATGGAACAATTCCAAAAAGCCATCCGGAAAGTCCGCCAGGTCCAGCGTATGCGGAAACAGCGTGGATATGCGTTTTCGCAGACGGATGAGAGTCAGGCGAGAGTGCTGCAGGCGTATGATACGACGAGGGAAAGAGGGAGGTATGGTGAGATGGCGAGTTCGAGGAAGTGAGAGGTGTGTGGGTGGGTGGAGAGGAAGAGTGTGTATTGATTTATGATATGGGATAACTTAGGATATTTCTAGGATATTGTGTATGGCATATTGTTGGGCGTTTTTTCTTCCGGTGACGGATGGGAAATGGACGCGGTTTTTGGTCTTCTGTTTATGCAGTTTCTTGCTTCGTGTTTATGTGTGTGGCGAGAGGGAGCGGATGTTGAAGGCAGTTGTTCCTTGATGCTTTATCAAGGCATTCACAAATCGGTGCAGAGGATGGTGACGCACTTCAGTTTATCGAAGTGTTAATTATCGTAATCCTCTCCAATGGACCCTTAGACTGTTACAGCGAGTTCATGGTAAGCAAAGCACGAGAACTGCAATTCCTATCCCAACAAAAACTGTTTAGGAGAACCCCGCGATTCGGGAGGTCTCCAAAATACTGTTTATACAGCAGCCTAGCTATCTTCTATCTAAGGCCGGTTTCGACTGCCCTACTCGATCGACATCACCTTTGCACTGAGAAGTGCTATCCCTTTCCCTACGCGCTCTCTGGTGTCCTATAAGCAATCTTTTGTTGTAAACTAAGACAATTAATGCCACCGAAGAGGGCAAGAATTAAGGGAGAGGGTGGAAGCTTTTCTCGACATGGTTTAACCGGCTCCTAATCGCAGAATTACTCCACGTAGTTCGAGGGGTACTCATGGACGACTTCCATTTCCCCCTCCCTAGCTAGATCAAAGAAAAAGCAAAGCCAAAAAAAAAGAAAAAGAAGGTCAAACGAGCGAGACGTATCGTTCAGACAGAAAGGTAGGTCTGCTGCTGCGAACAGAAGGGAAAAAAAGAGCAAAAAGAAAAAAAAGCCCGACGTGGGGGTCGAACCCACAGCCTTAAGATTGCACTTGACCAATCGCGTCCTGAGATGCGTAAGTTAAGAGTCTTACGCTCTACCGATTGAGCTAGCCGGGCTATCGTGTAATTATTGAGGAATTGTTGTTTATGGCAATATATATATGCAATGTTTATTCCAGAGGTAGGCGCAGCCGAAACGTGGCAGTCCGCGCGCCCGCTGTTATGCCTGGGCACATCATGGCGCACCATTGCACCGAGCGAGCATCTTATAAGTCTGAGCCACTCCACTAAAGTCTACATACCAATTCAATTCATCACGTAGCATATCCGCTACACGCAGTGAGATCCGGCAGTATACAGCCCTCTACGAAACCACCACGACGTCACCACGCATCTCAGCAAACGCAAACTTCCACACTCAAACCATCTCATTTTCTGGTGTTTTAACGCCACAATACCCATGCATGCGGCCTGTTCATACAACCATATCCATTCATATCCCGCCGCCATCCCTATCCAAACCCAAGCCAAAGCCAGTTCAACCCAATCCAAAAACCCAATTCAAAAGTGAAAAAGGCCCCTTTTGTCTAGATGCAAAAAGAGCGTGTTTGATGCAACACAGCTGAAGATGGAAGACGAAACAGAAAAAGCGCAAAGAAGTAACACGAAGCGGTAGAATAGGAATGCCAAAAACCCAAAAGTGAAAAGAAAACAGAATTTTCCCGCAACGAAGAAGTAAGTATAAGTCGGGAAGGGGTAGTTTGGTATCTGAAAGTAAAGAAATCCAGTAGCGAAGCCCGAGGGGTGAAAAGCAACGTAGTCGGCTTCGTCCGCTTGGTCTTCCCGTGTGGAAAGAAAATATGTTGAAGAGAAAAACCGAGGTCGATGATGGTACAAGCCGCCGGCAGAAGGAAAATCCAGCCAATGGCCGAAGCCTCGTTCGTGTCGAAATCCGCGCCTCCTAGCGACTACCTCCCCCGGGCATCATCACATAACTCATCACGCTCGTCATCGCCGACAGGCCTTCTTAGCCCGCCCTCGACTGCAATCCCCTTCTTGACCCATTCCATCTCTGCGATCTCTGCAAGGCTCTTCCGCCCCCTGGAGACCTTCTTGAGCAGCGCCTCCACACACTCCTTCGCGCCAGTCCAGAGCCTTCCCTTCTGCGGGTCCCATTCGCCATCTACGTCGCCAAACTTTCCCCACATCCAGTCGCACCGAGCGATACGATGCGTGGCTCGTCCTCGCACCGGTTTCCCCGGCGGAGGGTCAAAGGGTAACCGGCCCTCCATCAACGCATAAAGAAGCACTCCTACGGCCCAGGCATCAGTGGAACGTCCGTCGTACGGCTGACCCAGTAAGATCTCGGGCGCTGCGTAGTCCTCGCTGCCACAGCGGGTGGTCAAGAGAGGTGATCCTGGTGGCGGAGGGATACGGCGGGAGAGGCCGAGGTCAGTCAATGTCACAAGAGGGTACGGGTGTGATTGCACGTTCTTGAGTTTTCCAACTTGTGTGATTGGCAGGTTGAGGAGGACGTCTGGATTATGTTAGTTGACTGTCGCGGTTGGAAAACTGACCAGCGAGAGAACGGAGAGTAGTACTTTCTAGTTTGATGTCGCGGTGGACGATTAGGTTTTCATGGAGATAATGTACGGCGCTGACTAGTTCGGCGAAGATCCGCTGCACCACGTCACAGCGGAGGAGCTCGCCCTGTGTGCTCGCTACTTCAAAGAGGTCACCACCGGGGCAGTAGCTCAGGACGAGAAGGGCTCGATCATCACCATTGTCAAAGGCTCGGAGGTGCACGAGCGAGGGATGCGAAATGTCGCGCAGCATCTCCACCTCACGCTTGAGGCTGAGCTCTACTCTTTCTGCATCCGCTCCGCCGGCGGGACCATGCTCAACCACCTTGATGGCTACCAGTTGGCGCGGGTCGAGAACCGACTCGTCGAGCGGATCGTTTGCGGGGAGCTTCTCGCTGGTTGCAAGATACACCTTGCTGAAAGTGCCTTGACCTAGTTTCCGGATAGGGCGCCAAAGTCTCTTGGTCTTTTGCGAACCGTGTCTCACTGTGATGTAGTCTATCTTGTCATCTTCAGCTACGTCTTCACTCTCGCTTTCTGTTACACTCTTGTTACTTGCATTGCTCGCCGGCGGCGTCGGTAAGCCTGTAGGCAGCGCGGATACCAAGCCCCGGCGGGGGGCGAGGTAGGCTTCACGGTGAAGATGGGGCTCAGGATATCCTTCTGCTTCAATTCGCTCAGGAGCTACGCTCGAGATGGTCACATGGCGCGGCCGGAGGTTGTGGAAAGCGTCGGGGACCAATTCGCTGACACTCCGGCTCTTTTCGCGATGTGCCTCGCTTCTCACTGCTGCCTTTTCCACGGCAGCGGCTTGAAGCGTCTGATAACTCTTCTTCTTAAGGGAGTTCGACGGGGACAAGCCGCCCTTGGCGAATAGAGCAAACGGATCATCCTTTGCGGAGGCGCTGGACGTGCCGCGTGAGCGAGGGCGCATTGCTGCACCTGCGCGGGCCCAGGGGCCGGAGGTGTCACCTATGACCAGCGGAGAGGGGAGTGGCGTTATATCTGTGAGGGCGTTTAGTGCGGGCGAGGACAGCGCTGACGCAGGCGATAAGGATTCCGTCATGCTGGCGGCAGATAGTGCGCTCCTCAGATAGCCTTCCTGCACGGCAACCGGCGTAGTGGCTGAGTGGTGCAATTGGTCTCCTGCGGTGTTCTCCAGCAAGCACTGGCTGTCTTTCGAGTGTGACTCTGCACGAGCTGTATCGAAGTTGAGGTCGGTCTGTAGGACAAGGCCGGCAGCGGTGGGCGAGCGGACGTGAGCTCGAAAAGGATGGGTGGGGAGATTTGAATGCCCCGGATCGAGAGGAGGCAGCTGCGAATTGAGGAGGGTCGAGGTCGTATTTACGGAGGTTGGCAGGGCGGCAGCGGTGGGAGCTTGCGGTGAGGACTCGAAGGCTGATCCGTCGGGGGAGCCGGAAGAGGGTGCAGATGAGGCAGTTTGTGGAGGCTTTTGGAAGGCCTCGGAGGCTCGCGGATGGTTTGCAGCCTCCATGGCGTGTGTCTTATGTCCCGGGCGTGATGTAGGCGCTCTCACTCCACGTGCGGCCTGTGGAGGCGACGAGGCGTCCGGGTTGGCAGCTCGAAGTGCGGCACTCAGCGGATGGGGCGCAGTTCAAAAGACGCCTGCGCACGGACCAGGTGTTGGATGCCCAGATGGCTGGAGCGGGCTATTCTATGACTCTATGCGTACGTGCATGATGCTGATGCTGGCTTGAGACGCTGGGCGTGCGAGTGAATTTGCTGGAGGGGTCGTGTAAGGGTGAAGGGAAGTCGAGGTTGAGGGAAAAGACAATGCCGGAAAGGGACAACAGCCCAAGTACAAAAACGGAAGTCACTGACGTACTTCACTAAACTCATTACTGTGTGCTTGTTTATAGCGAAGCTATCTCGACGATGCTTCAGCGTCTGGAGCATCCACTGCTTCGAGATTATCATACATTGACACGCAATACATGCCTTTGAGACCTTCAGAAAGTGGTACTGACGCTTTATGCGCAGGCTTGAAGAAGCTGCTGGAGGCAAACATGACCACTTCGCTCAAAGAGCGACCGGAGCAGCAACCCTGGCTGCGCCCCCCCCCTGTGTTCCTTCACTTTGCCATCTGGCTATACCCATAGCTGTGCTCATCTCCACTGTCAGTGTAGAAACCATTGTTGTAGCCTTGTCCCATGAACGCGTTACGTCCCTGTGCAGGACTACCATGGTAGTACGCATTGGACGATGGAAAACCACTGTTCTCGTCCCTGCCGTCGCGACCTGCCGTTCCCGGTCGACCCCACTGCTGATTCTGCACACCTGAGTAGTTGTAGTTGGGATAACGGACCTCGTTACGCATCTCGTTCACGCCGGGCGGCAGACCATTGCTGGTGTTCTCCGGGTAGCCTGCCAGCGAGGGCTGTGATCGGTGTTGTGGGAGGTGGTGGTTAAACGGGTTCGGAGGCTGCATCGGCGGAAGTGGATGAGACACGCCCGGCGGGGCAGAATCGTACGGGGCTGCTCTCTTATCCACAGTCCTCTGGAGCTCTTGTACTGCATTCTGCAATGCCTTGATGCTGCTTGACAGGTCGCTGGTTTTCTGTGCTTGCTTGTTCAATCGCTCCATGAATTCGTTTCTAATGCTTTCAACCAGCCCGTCCACTTTCAAGATGACAGCCTGGCTCCCTTCGCTGGCGCGTTCACTGGCCCTGCCTACCGCTGTGATGTCGGCTTTGAGGTCCTCGAAACGCTGCTCCAATGTGGCAAGCATGGCGTCCTGATTGTCTGTGATAGACTTGCTGGCCTCCCGCGCGTCTTTCGTGCTGTCTTCAACCATATCGTACAGGGTGCGACCAAGGACGTCCATATGCGAGTGGCACTGGAAGAAGTGGTTGAGAATGTTGCTTCCGTCTGGGAGCTGCCCGGACCAGGCAGGAGGCTGCCCAGGGACAGACAATGGATCAAACTGCTGTCCATTGTTCAGCGGACTGGGCACAGCACTAGGGTTGTGGGCTTGAAAGTCGTAGTTATACCCGGTTTTCGACGGGCTCACGTTCTCCAGGATGTCCGTGAGCTTGGACGACCGTTCGGCCGGCTGCGTGACGCCGGTAGTTTGGGCTACGCGACTGGAACCTGCGTCTTGTTGTGGGTCAGGACGCCCTGCCCGGGTGGGTGGGCCAGTATCGGGGCCGAGCGGTTGAGCTTGCGGAGTAGAACCAGGCATGTCGGCAGTGATGGCGGTGGGATCGGGCTCGAAATCGCAGTGTACCAGAAGTGAAGTAGCGCTCCGTTGGCTGCTGGAGACGTCCCGGCGCGGATCGATGTTAAACAGGAAGCGGTTCTTGTCAGTCTGGCAAGCAGTTAGTGGAGCAAAGGTGAAAGGTCTAGCTCGGAAGGGACTGCAAGGTGTGCGGCGAGCCAAAAGCTGACGTAATGTCGCAGCGGTGAGTGAAGGAAAGACCAACGCGCACGTGCTCCTCTATAGGAAGGGGCAATCCGCAGAGCGACAATGTCCCCATACAACTCTCAATGCGGAAGTGGGTGAAGCAAAAAACT